ACGCGGTACAGCCCCAGAAGACGAAGGCAATAAATGTCTTTGGAACAAACCCACAAACCTCTGATGATCAAGTAAAATCTGACCATCAGATTCCTGCAGCTGGTTGAGTTTTCTCTTCATGTTTGTAGCATAGTCATGTGCGAGCATGTGCAACTGTTTATTCTCATGCTTGAGCTCTCTGATCTCTTGTTTGAGACTTATCACTTCAGCCGCCAATGATTCAACTTGGCGGGTTCGAGCAAATAGGCGTTGGGCCATATTAGAGACATAATCTACACACTGAACACTGAGAGCCAGATAATCCTTAAGAGCCAACTCAGCAGACCGTTTGGAAAGTAGTCTGTTATCTTTGGGACTGAGAATGTTCCTGGCCACCACCGCAGTGGTCATATCATTCTCCATCACAGAGTCCCCAATGGTAAGATGACCAGTAGGGGATAAGAAGGATGGGCGCCATATGTTGTCTTGAGAAGGCATGGCTGCCTCTTCACCAAAGTTCAAGTCAAAACGACGGTCGGATGGGCCAGACATTCTCAGAAATGATGAAGGAGAAATGAGGTGCAATAAATCTCTGAAGTAAAGGGAAAATTCCTACAAGCAATAACTCTCTGAATGTACTCCTTGCACACAATTGGTGCCCTTATAAAAGAAATGGCAACAGGGCCGTTGGTTCAAAAAATCGAAGAGGCACCACTCTCCAGATTCCGAAGAGGCACCACTCTTCGGATTTCGAAGAGGCACCACTTTCCACACGCAACATCAGCTCCTCGGGTACCACAGATAACTTTGCCAAAGATCTCTGACAAAGTTTAGCCACATAAATTTTGAATGTCCAGCTACTTTACTATTACCCACAAGGGTAAAGGAATAGCACCACTGCTTGATAACTAGAAAGTCCCTATGTGTGTCAACCTCCGTGCTCCATGGCAAGGCAGATTGGCAAAAATGCCCAACCTTTACTCACATTCGAGAAAACACTCCCAACAAGATTGCTTGCTCAAAAATCGAAGAGGCACTGCCCTCCAAATCTCGATGGCCAGATTCCCAACAGGATTACTTTATCAAAAATCGAATAGACACTGCTCTTTGAATCTCCATAGTCAGACTCCCAACACGATTGCTTTCTCAAAAATCGAAGAGGCATCGTTCTCTGAATCTCGAGAGCCAAATCCCCGATAGGATTGCTTGTTCGAAAACCAAAGAGGCATTGCTCTCCAAACTTTGAGAGCCAGATTTCCTTGAATAAAGCTTGTCTGCAATCTTCACACGCAACATCAACTTTCCATATACCACAGACCACTTTTTCAAAGCGCTCTGACAAAGTTTAAACATGTGAAGCTTGCAGCTCCCACTAAATTGCTATGACCAAAAAGGGTAAACGAATAGCATTATTACTTGCTCAAAAATCGAAGAGGCACTGCCCTCCGAATCTCGAGAGCCAGACTCCTAACAGGATTACTTTCTCAAAAATCGAAGAGGCACCGCTCTCCAAATCTCAAGAGCCAGACTCCCAACATGATTGCTTTCTCAAAAATCGAAGAGGCACCGCTCTTCAAATCTTGAGAGCCAGATCCTCGATAGGATTGCTTGTTCGAAAACCGAAGAGGCATCGCTCTCTGAACTTTGAGAGCCAGATTTCCTTGGATAAAGTTTGTCTGCAATCTTCACACGCAACATCAGCTTTCCAGATACCACATACCACTTTTTCAAAGTGTTCTGACAAAGTTGAAACACGTGAAGCTTGCAGCTCCTACTACATTACTACGACCAAGAAGGGTAAAGGAATAGCACTACTACTTATTGTTAGGGAGACTCCTATATATGTCAACCTCCATCCTCCACAGCCAGGCAAACTTGCAAATTAAAAAAATGCTCAACTTTTCTTCAATTTCGAAAGGGCACTCTCAGCAGAGTCTCTTAAAATACTCAGCTTCTTTTCCTCCTGATAATACCTCTACAAACAAGCCACACCAGAGCAAGAGTATCTCGTATCATCAGGGTTAAAAGCAAAAGTATCTCATATCATGCTTTTCCCTGTCTTTTCCTTTGGCCTTGTTCTTACCTGCAAGGCAAGGAGAAAGAGAACAATCAGTCAGCACTTGGAATCAAGCTTCCAGTCAGGAACTGACTGCCTAGAACCCCTTGCCTGACTACTAACCTGGCATTGCTCTCGAGTACTCATCTTCAACATCTTATGCTTCCATAAAAGATACCACATCTGCTTGAGGAATAGATAGGGCAAGTGAGAAGGATACAATGAAGCATGTGGAGACAAGTGCAACAGAACACGTGCCGATTCATCCACTACTTCGTCAACAGCAAAAGTATCCCATATCATCAAGGTTGAACGCACTCTTGATTTGATGGACTTGTTTTGACCCTCAAATTTTTGAGTCGGCCTTATACTCTGGAGGAAACCAGAAAACCCTCTAGCCCAGTTCAAGAATAAGCCTGTGGAAAGTTACTTCTTCAAAAGCAAAAGTATCTCATATCATCTCTTCTTCATTTGCTTCTCCTTATCCTTGTTGCTGTTTACGACACAAAGAGAAGGAGAACAATCAACCGGAAGCCGAAGTCGAACCTCCGATCCAGGTTGCTTGCTTGGAAGTCTGATTACTTACCTTGTCTGTTACCTTTTTCGGCAAATCTCCTAGCTCAGCGACTTGGGGGACTCCTACTATAGGGTTTTGTATCGCATTTGACCAAGCCCGAAACTACAAGTAAACTTCAAGTGAAATTGATACATTACCTTATGCATCTTCATCGGTTAAAGGTACCACCCCTGGATGGAAGAAAAGTACTTCCAGAGAAGATGACACATCTACGTATGAGACAGATAAGGCAAGTGAAAATGATACCACACTTCAGTACTTAGAAGTTTCATGATTACTCAATGGCTTGGATCTTGCAAGTCCCCATCCGAGGAGTTTCCCTCACTCGGGAACTTAGGGGAGCACTGTTTGTACCATACTTGACCAATCCCAAAACTACTAAGCACCAGTCAACGTTATATAGTCAAGGACCCAGAAGAGTTTCCCTCTAAGCAGGAGGCCAATCACAGCGCGACACGTGTCGACATCAGAAGCCAATCATAGCGCGACACGTGTCAACAGCAGAAGTCAATCATAACACGACACGTGTCAATGTCAGAATGAAACTAGAAACTCTCTTCTATAAATAAAGATCATTCTCTCACAATATTTCCTAATGTCATTTGTACTACATCATTCACTAGTACTCACTAAAGGAGAGCTTGAACCTATGTACTTGTGTAACCCTTCACAATTAATGAGAACTCCTCTACTCTGTGGACGTAGCCAATCTGGGTGAACCACGTACATCTTGTGTTTGCTTCCCTGTCCCTATCCATTTACTTACTTATCCACACTAGTGACCGGAGCAACCTAGCGAAGGTCACAAACTTAACACTTTCTGTTGTACCAAAGTCCTCACTGATTTTGTGCATCAACATACTTATTTCCCTAACATATATTAATAGCATTTAAATCAAAGCAATATTTTGCCTTTCTTTGAATAAAAATCGTTCAATTTTCATTATAAATTCTTTAACAGTGTTGTCAAGTTCCAGAGCTATTCTCTTTTTTCTTGTTGAAATTTCATACATGTTAATTGTCATCCCAAATTCAAATTGTATTCAACAAATAAGTTATAAATTTCTTTAGTTCTCTATTGTTTCTTCTTTATTCTACATCATACATGAGAGTTGCGGTTTATAAAGTTTTTATTGACCTCATTGAATTTAATAGTATAGGCGACGAAGTTATAAATATAATACAATGATTTTAAAACATAAAAACTCATCGTGGGCAATTATAATTTTTGTGAATATGTAATATTATCTATGCATGTTATGTTGGACATTTGATTACTTTTAATATATATATATATATATAATTAACATGATGTTTAGTAGATTTGTAAATACTATACTATACTTAAAATAAAATAAATAAATAAAAGAAGATGAACAACTTCTTTTTTTAGATTTTTTTTTTCTTAATTTGTTTTTGTCCCCATGGTCTTCATCTTGTCTTTTTTTCAAGTGTTTTTTTTAACAAACAATATTGTCTATACTACAGAGAGGGGATGACTTAGCTTCACAATGTGCTAGTAATATTGTAGTTCGAATTCACCTTTTTTAAAAAGTGTTTAATGAATTTTAATTTTTATATACTAATAAAGTTTTTCTATATTAGTTTCAAGTAATTGATAAAGGTAAATTAGTAAATTTATAAGCCAAATTTTGACTAAACGAGTTATATGAAAGTAAATTAAAACTTGAGAGGTGGTTTGTGTAATGTTTCAAACGTGAGGGAATTTTGTGAAAACTCATTAAACCTTAATGTGAGTTTAGTGTGATTAACTCGAGGTTATTGTTTGATAGATGTGTGGTTACAAAAATTATTTTTGACTTATGTTGGTACCACAAATATTGAGCCTCAGACTTTGACACATTAGGCCTTATTACCCAGCCCATAATTATGTAAAAGGAGGAGCCCCTTATTCTATAAAATGGGACTCCTCCCCCCTCACAAATCAGACTTTGGGATAACCCCAAAACATACAAGTCTCAAACAACTCAGAGACAACATTGTCTTCCTCAGGGGGACTCCTATCCTCCGGATTTTGTGCACCAACAACTCAGTTATTTTTATTGAAAGTTATAAGAATACAAAAAATTGCATTAATTACTGATCATGTTTGTTTTTAATATGTAGCCATTGAAAAAAGAGAGACACTAGTCTGAAACCGTGAATTGAACCGAAGAATCAACATTATTACACTCTCCAAGATTGAATTCGCATTTGGTACGATTTTCGGGCACGATCCAGTCCAGTATTTGCCGCTCAAACTATGGATCGAATATATGGTTCGATCCGATTCTTAAAACCACATACATAAATAAAAAATCTTTTTCCCATTTCCTTCATATTGGGCCGTGATGGGCCCATGTCCATCCTAAAACACAGCCTAGTAATCTCCAGTCTTCTTCACCAACAGATGTGCAGCTTTACAGACCCAGGTCGCTTCGGTTCCCCGAGGGGCCATAACTGTTTTTTCAAGCTTTTCTTACTATTGATTTTGGCATCGAAGCCTCCCTTGCTTGTTCATCTTCCTCGTTGCGCTGGTGATACATAAATTCTGTGCTACCTCTCTCAGTCACCAAACTGATTTTCCTCCCTGCTCCAGGCTCCAGAGGATAATAATTTCACAGCCTTTGGTTTTATGGGTAAGATTTTAAAAGAAAAAATTGATTTGCTTTTCCAACAGCTATATCGTTAAGGCTTTTTATTTTTTATTTTTGGTGTGAATTTCGTTAAGATTTTTTAATTTGAAATCTTTGTGTGTATATATGAACCTTTTGTGCGATTTGAGTAGATGCAATGGACTGTATGTGGTAAATACCCTCTTTTGGTGTGATTATATTTTAATCTCTGTTCACTTAGCTGTTAATGACTTAATGTATTTGAGAATTAATGAATCATATTCATATCATGTGCAACACTGCGTTAGGAATGTTAACCTAACTTACGTGTTTGTAATTGTATTTTTACCAGGTCATCCAACATGCTATATAAATCTTAAATCGGATAGGGAAGAACATAAATATTCAACTTTGCAGTAATGGTAATGATTTTACACAACACAGTGACTGAGAAAGCAAAATCAATTCTAAGAGTAATCAAAGTAAATTGGGGCACCAAACAACCCATAACATGGTAATGATTTTGCTAACTTTGAATTCTTCGCATAGGACATACCCATGGAGTAAAAGGTTTACCTTGTGTTATTGTTCGTTCAACTTTCTGTTGCATTAAACATTCAATCTTGGAACACTTTTACCTCAAAAACCACATGTAATGCTGATTCTTCGTGTATTGTTGGAGAGTGTATTAACTGGTGGTGTGAAAAATTACTAACTAGCTCACTTTCTAGATGGAAGATAGAATAAATGGGCATTGTGTGAATGAGTAAGATTTTAATTTCTGCTAAATTAAATTTAAAATGTGAGAGCGGTAAGTATAGAATCACAGTTCTATTCGATGTTGTTTCGTGATAATGCAATTTGAACCTAAAAATATAGGATAATGCTAGAGAGACCAAATTTGTAGACTAAATTTGCAAACTAAAAGATGTGTCACGAATAAGAAATAAGCACGTTAATCAACACTTATGTAATAATCCACTCATCAACTTCCATGTCATTTAGTTTACAAAATTTGGTGTACAAATTTAGTCTCCCTAGCTTACCTAAAAATATAACTTATATAACAATGACAGTCAATCTGTTACTTTGCAAAGTGCTCTTACATGATCTCTGTTTGTGTTTGCAAGATACCATTATTTGGAAGTTAAGTCTTACGGGAAAAATACGAATGAAACTTGTGAAGACTAGGTGTCAATAGGATGTAGTAATATTAAAGAAAGGATTATGGATAGAATACATTTCAAATGGATTTGATGTAACTATATACCAGGAATCAGTTAAATCTGCATCTCCTTTATTATTAACCGAATCCCTATATTTGAACTTTGAAGTCATTCCTTCCGAGTGGGTCCACAAGTGTAAATTGGTATGAATGTGGAAGAAGATTGAAAGAAAAAAGAATTCAGTATTATATATAGGGTACCCTGGCTGTCCATTGTCCAAAAAGAAAGATTTGACTGTAGAAATTCTGTGTATCTGGTCGTTAGTACTCAGTTGAAGGTTGGTCTTCGGTTGGTGTTTGAGATATGTTGTTGTTTCGCCTATCAATGTTTCGTGGTTTCATCCTTCATCAAAGTGATATGTTAAACTGTACTTTGTGAAGAAGTTGATGATGGGTGGAACTTTGATCCATTTCCTACTCTGTCTACGGATGTGTATCAAATCTGTATGTGGTCACTGCTTTAATATCTAAACAAGTTATATTCTTTTAGTATAGAATTGGAATGATTATGGGCTTTTTGAGTTTTTGGTCATTCTGGAAACAATAAAGTTCAAATCAGAACTTTTCAGTTGTTAATATGATTGAGTGTTGAAGCATCTCTATTGGTCCTAGTGCACAAATGAATTTTTTGGATGAGGATGCTTCTGGCTCTGGAGACGATGCAAACATGCAAGATGGAAACAAGAATCATTCTGGGATACCATCAAGTTCAGGTTGTCGAAAGAGAAGTCGCAAGGCTACCGGTGATGCTATAGTGGATGCTATGCTCGAAATAGCTGCTGCTTCAAAAATGAGGGCAGCAGCAATTGTGAAGAGCGAGGAACGGTTTTCTATAAGCAAATGCATAAAGGTATTGGATGACATGTCAGGCATCGATCAGCAGATCTACTTTTGGGCATTGGATTTATTCGAGAACTCCAATGTGAGAGAAACTTTCATATCTCTTAGAAGTGAGAAACGACTACCGTGGTTGCAACGCAAGTTTAGTGCTTCCTCTAATTGAATAGATGAGCAGTCTTATCTAATTCCATCTTTTTATTTTATGTGTAGTTTAAGTGTCAAAGATTCTTATGGGTTGTATTGAGTTCACTCCGAACCGTTGATATTGTAACTAGTATGACATTCTGCTTTACGGCTGTGTCATTTTTTGGATTGATATTAGAGGGTATTTAGTGGATTTGTATTTTATATTTTTATGAAATTAGAGGAATTAGTTTCCATTTGATGGTTTATTGTTTTTGTTTGAAGGCTGGCCACGCCACTCAAGTGATTGTCTTGTGTAGTATCTTAATTTTAATTTTGCAGATACATCAGCTGTCATGGATGATTTTGACGTAGAATTGGAAGAGATGGAACTAACTGCAGCAGCTGCTGGTTACTATTATTATAACAGTATTACCAGGCAACCTTGTCGTGGTCTGTCACCTAGTAAAGCATGTGGATTTATGACCGAAGTCCTGAGTGGTCATGATGATGTGTTCCAGGAAATGTTTCGGATGGATAAACATGTGTTTCACAAGTTATGTGACGTTCTCCGGCAAAGAGGAATGCTACGTGATACTGCTGGTGTTATGATAGAGGAGCAGCTGGGAATCTTTTTGAATATTATTGGCCATAATGAACGCAACAGAGTTATCCAAGAGCGATTTCATCATTCAGGTGAAACCATCAGCCGTCATTTCAATAATGTGTTGAAGGCAGTCAAGTCACTGTCACGTGAATTTCTACAAACACCAACCCCCACCAGACCTTCAGAAATCCGTGGATGCATTAGATTTTATCCATATTTCCAGGTTTTAGTCAAGTTACATACTTTTCTCACTTTATTTATTTATTTATTTTGTCATGTACTTTTAGTTACTATCTACTTTAGGATTTGTATCTTATAGCAACAAAATTATCTGTCTATTCTTAGGATTGTCTCGGAGTCATTGGTGGAATGCACATTCCAGCCCATGTCCCAGCCAAAGATCAATCCCGGTTTCGAAATAAGAAAGGTGTTCTTTCACAAAATGTGTTGGCAGCTTGCACGTTTGACCTTCAGTTTATATTCATTTATCCTGGCTGGGAAGGCTCAGCTGCAGGAGCCCGTGTGTTGAAAGCAGTCCTTGATGATCCGCATCAGAATTTCCCTCGTATTCCTGAAGGTGTGCCTTCGATATATTATCTGTAACATGCTGCCCGTAAGCATTATTTATTTATCATGACATTGCACTTTGTAACGCCATCTACAACTTACTTTTATCAATGATTTTATCTTGCAGGAAAATATTACCTTGTCGACACAGGATATGCAAATATGAAAGGCTTTATTGCCCCATTTCAAGGCGTCAGGTATCATGCTAATGAATATAGAGGTGCAAATCAGTTACCTAGAAATGCAAGGGAGCTATTTAATCACAGGCACTCATCTCTTAGCAATGTCATCCAGAGATCTTTTTATTTGTTGAAGACTAGGTTTCCGATACTCAAACTTGCTCCTCAATACGCATTTCATATTCAAAGGGATATAGTTATAGCTGCGTGTGTTCTGCACAATTACATCCGGCGTATGTCAAAAAAGGATTGGCTGTTTTCGAGTGCGGAAGGGACAACAATGGATGAATTGCCTGATCTCGATGATAATCTTGACACAGAGTTACTTACTTCGATACAAGAACATGTTGCTTTATCAGTGAGAGAGTCAATTGCCACAGAAATGTGGGATGACTTTATAAATAAATGGGATCAATGGTAACTGTCAGCAGTAGCTTTTATTATGGTGATATTTTCAAACCGTAAGAGGCATCCTTTGACAAGGAGCAAAGCAAGGAAGTTATTGTTTGGGATGCATCTTAGCATTTGGTCTTGGTCCGGCTCAAGAAGTAAAACCTAGCTTTTTTTTATATATATAGAGAGAGAGGTTAAATGATGCAGATACTATGATTGTGATAATTGTAATTATTTGTAAGAAAGTGTTATTCATACATCTAGTTTTACCTTCCACACACTTTTGTTAATTTTGGCCATAGATCTTTAATTCATTTTATCAAATGGCCAAAAATTGGGAGAGATGTGTGAAAAGTAAAAATAAATGTGTAGATAGCAGTACCTATTTATAATTGACCATTTCTGCTGTGAGGCCGTGACCAAGGAAAGAACTGAGGATCAGTTTTTCTTCTAGCTTCATTTAACATCTACAGAGATTAATCATGACACGAAAGCAATTAAATTTTAATTAGCATGAGTTTAAAATCAAAATCAATTCGTATATATCTTTACGTAAATAGTTGATGTATTTTTCGGTGCAAATGCTCTCAGAACTCATATTTAAGCATTCAAAATCAAGGATTCAAAACCTAAATCTAAAGATATTTCAATTGGAAAAAAAAAAAGATATTTCAATTGAATAGTGGATAATGTCCCCAAATTTTGCTTATCTATTTTCTATTATACGTGAGTCCGCTTATTTAAAATGGTCTTTGAAAGTTGTCTCAAAATAAATTACAATTTATATGCAAATAACAAATGTATCCATTTTTAATTATACCAAAATCTATTACGATAAAACTCCACAACCTCCCCTGATAATTTTATTTTATTTCAAAATTTTAAGCAAATTTTTTTTACTGATTTTGATTTCCTCTTCTTGTTTTTTTTTTCTTCAATCAAATGAGAATGTAAAAGAAAAATTCAAAAATAATACAGTCACAATGGTATCACAAAGTGAAGTAGCGAAAAAAATCATAATTCAACAACGCATTATACTTTTCTCTTATTTTATATTAGACTACACCCTGAAACAAGGTCAAGCAGTTCATAGTTCACTCTTTGTTATACTTTGACATTTCTCATGGCATTCCTAGCAAGAAAACATAAAGTTCTAGACAACTCTTGACATAAGTGATGCACCAGTATGTCATTCAATCTTTCACATACCTCAAAATAATTTCCTACAACAAAACCATAATCAATACCTACTAACATTTCAATGAACCAACGATGCACAAAAATTCACATTTAACCACGTTAATCAATCAATATGATCAAACATTACTTCATGAATTTTAACAAAGTCAATTTTCGTAAGGTTTGCCGTAATTTTCTACCAGTTACAAACACAAACGTAATTTTGAGCAACTTCTATTCACAAAAATCTAATATTTCAAACCAATTCAGCATAACCAATAGGAAGCAGGATTCCATACCAACTCAACGGAACCATCCTTAAAATGCGTATGGTCTCCTAATGTTGATTAACTGGGCATGACAACTTATGGAACGATGTAACCAAATAGGTAGTGACCTCTCGATGCTGATTAACCAGGCATAACTATAGACAAACAAATCATAATGTGGTCCCCCAATGCGGATTAACTAGGCATGATTATAGTTCCCTAATCTGGATTAACTAGATAGAACCAAAAGCATACAAATAATAGAGTGGTCCCCCATTGCAGATTAATCAGGCAGGACCCTTGGCATACTTATGATAGTATGGTCCCCTAATACGGATTAACTAAGCAAGACCATTGATGTACCACACTGTTACATGGTGCATTCTCATAATCAAACATCCAACGTGCTAAATACTACAACATGGAAACTACATCACACATCATACATAATTCATCACCCTAAACCTAAACCCTACCTAAACCCTAAACCATAAACCCTACCTAAACCCTAAACCCTAAACCATAAACCCTAAACCCTAAACCATAAACCCTACCTTATCGATTCAACGTAACAATCAAATAACTAGTCACCCAACATACAAGTTCTACATAATAACTAAACATAACAACCAAATAACTAGTCACCAACGATAAGTTCTACATAATAACTAAAATATGGTGCCCCCCCCCCTCATCTCCTCATACCAGCATTTCTCATTCACATTACTCTTTATCTACAAGCCCAATAATCACATAGGTCCGCCATTTGCACGCAAACCGAGGTACACATTGCCAGAGACTAGAGTGGCATGCTGACTAGAATAGGCCCAAAAGCTTTATCGAGTCTGTGAACTGCACTCACAGACTCCGGTCCGAATATGATTGCTAGATTTATTTCCCTCTCTCACAATCCCTCAAGGCTAAGTGTACTGCGGTTTCGGTTAAAATAAGGGTATTTTACGCACCCCTTTTTACGTACCTCTTAGCCTCATATTCTATCCATGTGTTACTGTATTTGTATATATTTGTAGGGATTAGTAAATGAGATTTGAATCTGGTGATTATCTTTTGGTTTTTCGTATTTGGTGAAGAAATCTGGATGTTTCGTGCTTCTTGTTGTGGGTTTGGTACTTTTGTATTGCGATGTCTTGTTTGTTTTCACCACTCGGTCGTTTTCTTTAGTGTTGTTGATGGCAAGACTTTTGTGGCAGCGAACGCTTCTTTTTGCGGCCGAAAATTAGGAATTTGGGTTTCCATTTTAGTTTTATTTAATTGAACTGAACTTTTATGTATATGTTTCTCCCAAATGTATGATGGTTATTTTGCCTTCCTTTGTGTTGGCTTGTAACCTTCGGATTACTAAAATTATATTTTCTTACCACAAAAAAAAAAAAAAAAAAAAAAAAAACCTTCTAATGAAGAGGAGGCCTTCCTATCCAATATGTCGCTCGCACCCAAAGCCCCCTTCCGCTTTTGCGGCACACAGACCCTTTGTGTGTAACGCCCCTTGCCGCACGACTGACTCAAGAGAGTCAGGACTCAGGTCAGGACCCAGGCGGAGGACAAGTACATCGATTATAATTCACTTCAACTCTCTGTGTGTGTCTCTACTCCATATTATCTCATCAACTCCAAGTCTCAAGTCTCAACTGAATCTAAAATCGCAGCAATGGCGGCCATAAGCTCTCTTGTTGTAAACGTCCCCCTAATCCGTCCGTCCCAGAGAATAAGCAGAGACGACGACACTTATTCGAATAGGCGGCTGAATTCGGTGTTCTGTGTTCGCAGTGCTCGTGGCCCTCTCACCCTTTTGCATATCAATCGTCTGTCTTTATTTTCTCCAACCAGGTAATTTCATCTATCTTTCTTTCAAATCCTAGCTTCTGCCTTAGCGGTTTCTATGCTCTCTCTCTCTCTCTCTCTCTCTCTCTCTCTCTTTTCATAGTCCTTGTATGTTTTCCTAATCTTGATATTTAATCTTGCTAGTGTCACGCTAATCACATGTACTCGTAATAAATGCAACATGTCATTTTGAAGACTCTGCTTTTCACACCCCTGTTTCTGCCAATTGTTGGTATAAACGCCGATTCTAAAACAAAAAGAAAAAGTGCACAACTTCTACTATACTTGCTGCTTAAAACATCAGAATTAGGCATTCATTCTTGTTTAATTTATTGATTCTTCCAATCTTGATGTCACTTAAGGGACTCCATTTGTGAGTTATCACTTGCGATTGGATTTTGAGGTAGATTGTGTTTGTTGTTTGCTATATATATATGCTGGCCCTTCCGGAGTGGATCCCTCTATGGAAGGGCTCTGTGTATAGTATGTAGTATATACTATTTGAACAAGTATGACTGGCTAATCTTTTTGCAATTTGTAGCTCACTGCCTAATCTTTTTGCCAACCGGTTGTCTTTCAGTTCAACCCACTTAACCTGAAGATAACAGTGTTGACTACCATGCACTATGCAGCTCACTGCCTATTTAACATGTTTAATAATTGCGTAGTATGGACCTAAATATATTGCTTGTGTTAAAATGTTCCTCTATATTATAGTGCAATACATTTTCAGTGCCCTCTATATCACTCTTGTTGACTTTTTGGCCACTTTCTTGTGGTTGAAAGGCGTCTACTTGAAGCTGGTGCAGGTAGATCAGGTGTACATAGAAAGAAAATTAATACTTGGGAACAATGTGTCTCCATGCTTGGAGAGCCAGTGACTGATGCACTTTTTCCAGGAAAGTATAACTGCATTACTAGCTCTTTTTGCCAAAACAGAAGTCGTCATCACTGTAGGACATCTACACCAAGGGTCTATAATGACAAAACTTCTTTTTGTTTATTCAAGCCTAAACTTGGAAATGTTGCTGTAAGTAGAGCACCCCAAGTTTTTGTTGATGCATTTTGTTACTCAGTCTTGCATTTTATGCCTTGTGTTTAACTATTAGCTGGTGTGTTTAGATATGTTTGTACTGTATGTATTGTGTGTGCATTCATGATTACATATTCGAGGTTTGGAAATTATTCTCATTTGTTTGGTACAGTGGCGGGCAAATCCCTGCAAAAACAGTTGAGAAATTATTAATACTAATATTAATATGAGAAAGAAACTATTATTTTAACATTTGACATTACAGATTTACAATGATGATTCAGCTCAAAACAGCAAACTTACTGTTCAGTTTGATTGAATTACAGAGCCACGTTCTATGTGGGTTGCATGTATGCAACAATAATTTAAGATGTGAAATAAGTTGTGAAACTTAAAGTCTTTCAGTGAATTTTTAAGAAACTGTGTTCACAAAACAAAGTGTTTTTAAAACGGCTGAAGGCGCTTTTAGAGAGAATGTTTTTGGGTTCCAAAAGCACTTGAAGTGCTTCCTGCAAGAAGCATCAGTTATGTGTTCTTTGTAGGAAGCACTTCAACTGCTTTTTCAGGATTCACTTGCATTTTTACCTAGGATTGGCTCCAAAAGTGCTTGTAGTCATTTTAGAAGCACTTCCCCAACAAGCCCAATTATCAGTGACTTTTAAAAAAACTTTCATTAGGAAAATAACAGTTGCTGGTGCAGTTGAAGGTTCCAATAGGAAACTCTGCACTTGCTTTCAATACAGCCTTTTTTCTGACTTATTGTGGTCCATATAATTTTAAGGGCAAACATGCTCATGTTTCATATGCAACCGTGGGCCCAGATGAGCCACATGCAGCAAGTACAGCCTGGCAAGATGGTCTTCTGGAGAAACAGGAGCTGGATTTATTATATCCTGGAGTAGAAAAAACAGAGTTAGAGGGGTTTTTAAGTTCTGAAATTCCATCTCATCCAAAGTTGTATCGAGGGCAACTAAAAAATGGGCTGCGCTATGTGATCTTACCAAATAAAGTTCCGCCAAACAGGTTGGCCTCCTTACATGAACACTTATAATTGGTTTATGCTTTATGCTTATGCTGGAAATACAAAA